AGCCCCTCTACAACTATTGACATTTATTAAAGTTCATAGAGTTTCTGGAGGCATGTTAATTAGGAAGTTGATGCCACTCCTGCTTCTAAGTATCTATCTATCTATCTATCTATCTATCTATCTATCTATCTAATGTGATTTATATGAAAAAGATGAAAGCATGATCATTCTAGAAAAGGAAAAGAAGATTTAAACTAAAACAAAAAGGACAATTACTGTATAAGAACAATGTATATTTAAGTGAAAAAAATCCCACATAACCATATATACCTATCTGTGTACACACACACACACACACACACACACACATTCTTTACTTGGTATTATGTGCTTACACATACCTATATTTTGTATTTTGAAGAGATGGCTTTAATAATAATGATGAAACATTACCCTTTACAATCAAGCTTATTATCTTGAGTGGGAAAATATGGTGGAGTTGCAATACATATGCCAGGAATTCTGCAGGATTCTGAGATTTTCATGCAAGTGAACTATATGTTACAGTACAACTATCTGATGGAAATTTCAAATCTGATTACAGCACATCCATGTGAAAATTACTGCTAGACCATTAGCCTGAAATATGAGGCCCCATTTTTTCCTCCTCATCCCTTCATCTTCGCTTCTTATGCTGAAATGTGCCACATCGTCAGCCTTTTGCTCCAATTCTACCTTAGTATGCAACAAGATAGCAGTGTCCTTATCTCATAAAACATTCATCCTTGGTAGACCTGGCATTGTCTCTGGGACAAAACTCCTCCACTTTCATAAGTGCCTAATCAAAGGCATGGAGCTCTGGTGGCCTAGTGTCTTAGGCATTGCACCGCCAATTGAAAAGTCAACAGTTCAAATCTACCAGGTTCTTGGAGGGAGAAAGATGGGCAGTCTCCTCCCATAAAGATTTAAAGCCTCAGAAACTCAATGGCGGGTTGCTGTGGTTTCGAATAGACTCAATTGGCAGTGGGTTTTTTGTTTATTATATAGACAACAAGTCTTCAATTACCATTCATCACACCATATGGTAATTGTTTGACCTTCCACTCATCTATTCATTCTCTGACACTAAATTAGGTGCTAAGTGAATGTTTATTGACAATTAATGTAACTAAGTAAGTGCCTCTCTGCACCTCAAAAATATAACTAAGATATCTTCCCCTTTATACCTCATAAGGCTAAGTTACCCTTCCTTTTGGTCTTATACAGACCAGGAGGCAATTATTCTGAAGATACAAGTTAGACCCTGTTCACCATACTCACCAAAACAGAGCTCCAGAATGGATAACCTGAAATGAATATCAGAGGAAACCGTGGGTATGGTTTTACAAAGGTGAATAACAGTATCATCCCAAAAGAGAAGTCCATCAGTCCAAACAGAATCTGAATAGTCTGCAAACAGAAGGAAGAGTGTAGTGGAAAAAAAATCAACCTGATGAGTTCACTTTCTCTTTTATGAGTTTATCTAGATGGAAAGGATTTGATACTCTTTGTTTTACAAATAAAAGGAGGATAAAAGAAATCCAATTAGCATTGTCCCATCTAAGGATTAGAAGGTCTCTAATCCTTCTATCTGGTGTTGTTGATTGAGAATTCATGGACTAGCAAAATTAGCATCAGCCAGGACTTAGTAAAAAAAAAAATCAAAATATGAACTCCTATTCTACACTGTAATCCTTATACTAAAGAAGAATTGATGCCTTTTGAACTGTAGCATTAGAGAACTGACTATCCCACTGCTTTCAAAAGAACAAAATGATATATACATATATTAGGGAAGGTACAGTTGGAGTGCTCCTTGGAAGCAAGGATGAAAAACTTCATCTCACCCACTTTAGTCTTGTTGCTAGGAGAGACTTTGGAAAGATTGACAAAAGAAAAGAAGAACTTCAAGCAGGTGGATTGAGACTGGGGCTGCAGCAATGGGCTTGATTGTCAGAGATTGTGAGGACGGCACAGGATAGGTCAGGCTTCACAGCTGTTGTTCATAGGGTTGCTATGAATCGTATTTTATCTGATGGCACCTGAGCAGCATCAACAACAATATTCTATATACTGAATGTTGACTAGTCCCTTGGTTGTGCTAATGGTTAAATGTTCTGCTACTAACCAGAAGGTTTCTAGTTCAAAACAGCCCAGAGACACTTCAGAAGACAAACTAGGTGATTTGCTTTGAAAAATCACACCACTGAAAATTCTATGGAGTGGAGTTCTACTCACAGGTGAATAAGCTATAAGTTGGAACTTGTTAACCACTGGGTCATCTTACACTGACTGAATAAGATTTTTAATCTGTACTGAGAAATCTGTGTTTTAAAAAGATAAAGGATTAGTGTGAATAAATGTGATAAACTTTGAATTCTCAAATGGACCATCAGAAACCTTAAAGAGATGACCAATTCCCTGAATAAGCAGTCAAAACCAGGCCAGGTGCTGACTGTAGAACATCAATTACTCATGCGCAGGTTTAAACAAAAGGTGAAGAAAACAAAAACAAGCCCATGAGAACCAAAACATGAGTTTGAGTTTATCCTACCTGGATTTAAAAATAATCTCAGTAGGTTTGAGGCATTGGACAATAATTATTGATGACCAGATGAGTTGTGATGAGTTGTGGGATGACATTAGGGATGCCATTCATGAAGAGAGCAAGAGCATTATATGGACAGAAGAGAAAGAAAAGACCAAAGTGGATGTGAGAAGAGGCTCTAAAAATCACACCAGAACGTCAAGAAGCTAAAAGGAAAGAGATGGAGAGTGAAAGAGATAAACAGATTTCAAAGGCAGCTCAAGAAGACCAAAGTATTAGAATGTGCAAAGAGCTGGACTCAAGAATAAAAAGGAAGAAATTGTTCAGGATTTCTCAAGCTGAAATAACTGAAAAACAAATTCAAACTTTGAGTTTACTAGCAGTTGCTAATTCTCTAAAGGTTTATTTATTTATGCATGCTTAAGTACAAAAATAACTTGAAGGGGTATTTTCAATATTTATAAACAATATTCTAAAATATTAGTACAATTTAAGTGTTTGTTTGCACTATTTTAAGAATAAAATCAGTGAAGGGAAAAAAGCTAACAACCCAAACACATCCTGGCAAGATAATTATTATTTTTTTTAATCCAAACATTACAATGTTTATAAGGATAATACAGAATCAAAATTTTGTTCTGTTATACACAAAGTCATTGTGAGTAGAACCAACTCAAAGCAACTAACAGGTGCAAACGAAAACAAACATAACAAGTGGAAATAAAGAGCTTTGTACATTATTATAAATTGTCTATATTATATGCCAAATTTTGTAAAATTTGCTCTAAATAGAATGATAACTGTTAATTATACTCATTGTAATGTCTAGGACAATACCACACACATATAATCAGAGAATAACTGTTTTTATTGTTGATTTCCATCAAGTCAAGCATGACTTATAGCGACCCTATGAAATAAAGACCTGAAGCCTTTCTGTAACTATAGTTATTTCTCAAAGTTAATAGAGTTCCCAAAGGCATGTTGTTTAGGAAGTGGAAGCCACTCCTGCTTCTAATTGATTATAGTCAATAAATTATGCCAATAGATAAAGTAATATAGTAACATACTGATTATAAAAAATTATTAAAAGTACTATTATTAGTCTAACAACAATAAAATTTTAAAAAGCAAAGAGGAGCAGGATAAAATAAGACAAATGACAAACAAAATGAAAGTAATAAAATGTTAGATCCTAAAGCAATTATATCCGTAATTAAATGTTGACATTAAGACAATTATTAAGCATATGTAGGTATTTAATTTGAGATTAATTGCATTTAAGTTAAACTAAATAATCAAATATTTAGTTCCTTAGTTATGTATTTTTTTTTTTACATAAAATTTTAACTGTGACTTTAACATGGGCAAAATCTTGAATGATCTAAGAAGCATCAAAAGAAAATGGAAGGAATACACTACCAAAAAGAATTGGCTGACATAGAATGATTTTCAGAAAGTAACATATGATAAAGAACCAATGGAACAAAGGAGGAAAGTCAAGCTTCTCTGAAAGATTTGGTAAAAAACAAGGCCGATACCAAATTACATGTTTTAACAAACAACTGCGGCCCTAGACGTGCGCATCAGTCTGTGCTGGAAAATTGGAAGACAACTACCTGGTCAAGTGACTTCAAGAGATATGTATCTGTTTTCATTCTTGAAAAAGATGATTCAACAGAATGTAGAAATTATTGAACAATATTATTAATATCACATATGAGCAAAATGTTACTTACTATCATCCATAAATGGCTAGAACAGTACATTGAGAGAGAACTTCCAGAAGTTCAAGTTGGGTTTAGAATAGCACATGGCCCCAGCGATATCATTGCTATTGTCAAACGGATCTTTTCAGAAAGCAAAGAATACCAGAAGAAGGCCTATTGGTATTTTATTGATTATGCAGACATTCGACTGTATGGATCATAACAAACTATGCTTGACATTGAGAAGAATGAGAATCCCAGAACATTTAATCATGCTCATAAAAACTCTCAAACTTCTGATTTTTAAGGGCATATATTGGTTCTCATGGACTTGTTTTAGTATTTTTTCAGCTTGAGTTTGAATTTTCACATGAATAATTGATGGTCTATACCACAGTCAGCACCTGGCCTGGTTTGGACTGTTGATTTTGAGCTTCTGTGACGATCTTTCCACAGATGTAGTCAATCTGAATCCTGTGCAGTCCATCAGGCGAAGTTTATGTATAAAGTCACCTTTCATGTTTTTTAAAGATGGTATTTGCAATGAATAAGTAATTAAATGTACAAAATCCAGTCATTCAGTTGTCACCCTCATTTCTGTCACCAAGACTACTCTTTCCAACTACCATTCCTTCCTCATTGTTGTCACATTTTGCATTTAAGTCACCAATAATTATTTATGCATTTTGATTGCATGCTTGGTCAATTTCTGACTACAAAAATGTTGTTAGATAGCCTCAGTTTTCTCCTCTTTTGCTTTGGTTGTTGGTGCGTATGTTTGAATAATATTGTGTTAACAGGCCTTCCTTGTATGTATATGGATAGTATCCTATCATTCACAACATTGAACTTTAGGAAATTGTCTTTTTAACTATGAATGCTGCACCATTCTTCTTCAGTTTTTATTCCTGGCATAATAGATCATATGAATGTCTGATTCAAAGTGACCTATGCCAGTCCATCCTAGTTAACTAATGCCTAGAATGTCAATCTTTGTGCATTCCATTTATTTTTTCCAACTTCAAGTTTTCTGACTCTGTCTATGCTTTGTCCTACAAAGTCCATGTTTTGTACACCCCATGTTCTAATTCTTAAAGAATGCCTGCAGCTGTTTCTCCTCATGTTAAGTGACTTTCAGTCTGGGCTCTGTCTCTAATACTTTAGCTGCTATTATTCCTCTATTGTTCATAGAGTTTTCAGGGCCCTATTATTTCAGAAGTGGATTGCCAACCCTTCTTTCTCATCTGCCTTAATCCGGAAGCTCCGTTGAAATCGTTCTGTGGATTACCAAAAGAACAAACAGATGTGTTTTGGAAAAAGGGCAACCAGAGTACTCCTTAGAAGCAAGAATGGTGAAAGTTTTGTCTCCTGTAAGACATCTTTGTTGAGCATGTTTGCTGCTGTTGTTATCAAGTGCTGTTGAGTCAACTGTGACTCATCCTGACCCTATAGACAATAGTTATGAACCCTGCCCCGTCCTGAGCTAATCTTACTGTCTCCAACATATCTACCCTCCTTTCCCCACTTATTTTGTCAATCCATCTCATTCTGGGTCTTCCTCTCATTGCATGTTGTTAGGAGAGGCTATTTCTTGGAAAGGGACATCATGCTTGGAAAACTAGATGGTCAGAGAAAAAGAGGAAAATCCTCAATGAAGGGGATTGACACAGTGACTGAAACAGCGGCTCAAGAAAGTCAGAGATGACGAAGATTCCACAAGATAGATCTGTTTGCTCACAGGGTCATGATGAGTCGTAGTTGACATGATGGTACATAATGACAGCAACTGTAAGAGTAACAACTATTTCCAACTTTGTGAGGAAGCCCCAGGCTGCCTTCCAGAGTGGTTGCACCGTTTTACATTCCTACCAGTGTATGTGAGCTCCAGTCTCTCCACATCCTTGCCAGCCTATGTTGGTTGCTCTGCTATTGAATCTTGCTATTGCTGCTGAAGTGAGATTCTTTCTCACTTGTTGGTTGTTGGTTTTTTGTGTTGCTTTTTTTTTTTAATTTACATCTCTTTTTGTTGTTTTTATTTACTCTCTAATATCCCACACTCTTCATCTCTCCATTCTGTGGATGGAAGGAACTCTGATGGTGGATTTCATAACCGATTGAGCTCCTAACTCAAAGGTTGCTTGCATCTTGTGTTT